TCTGGAGTTATTTTTTAGGAGAAACCCCACTCATATCTAAATAACTCCAAGTCAATACTATACATCTTGAAACTATTTAATCTATTTTATAACATTACACATATCAACGTCATACTTTATATATTCCACAGGCAAGTTATATTTTGTAAATGCATGGAAAATTTTGAGGAATAAATTTAAGTTTTAATAAAATGTTTGAACAAATCTATTTTAGATTTATATGTTTAAAAAAAGAGGCAAATAAACTTTAACCATTTGTCATTCTCAGTGAAGCTTTCAGTACAGAGTAGCATGGTTTTGGAATTAGAGCTATAGATCACTATCACAGGTATATATTTTCTTTTATCAACTAATGCTAATTAATTTAAATATGACCTACCTAGAGCAGTCACTCAATTTTCTGTAGAAAACTATAGAGGAGTGGGTGATGGGGAGGAGGACAGCGAATCACACTGCCACGTGTGTTCCTGTGAAACAATTTTGCATGTTCTTCACATGTACCCCAAAACCTAAAATGCAATAAAATAAATAAATAAAGAAAGAAAGAAAGAAAAGAAAACTATAGAGGAGAATTACTTTCAAAATTTCGGAAATGTACGCTCACAGATGCATTTTCAGAAACAGTATTGTATGGAACATCTTTTACAATTGAAGAACTGTCGACTTAGGTTGTCTGCATAAACTTACCAATAAAATTTAAATGAATTAACTTTAAAAAGTAGTTTCTATGTAATATAAATTGGTGGATTTATATCATTGCAGGGATATTGTCCTAATATGTTAATAAAGTAATTGTGTGTCATTCACTATGAGAGCTCACACTATTTACAGCTCTTAAAAGGATACAAAACTTGAAATTTTGACAAGTCTAAAAACGATGCTAAAGAAAATCTTATTAGATTGCAATGTTGAATGCTGGCAGGCATTCATAAGAATAAAAACAAAAGTGTTAAGAATATTGACATAAGATGAACGTGTCCATTGGAAGGAGGCACCAATATTTAATGCTTATCTACTATATAACAGACATTGAAATAGGCATCTGCATCTTTTCATTCAGAGAGATAAATTAAATACCATGTAAAGAGATATTAGTTTTGAAAATATTAATCTTTCCCAATGTCACACAGTAAGGAAACAATGGACTTGAAATTTGAACTCAACACTTCTATGGTAACATCAACTGATTCTTAAAGTTTTTTTCAAATACATCATGCAGATTTTTTCACTATAGTGAAAAGGTAGTCTTGTAAACATAACACGAACAGAATATTAACTTGGATTAAATCAGGAGATTATATTAATACACATTTCATCAGAGCTTCATTACTTTTATGGTCATACTTTAGAACTATGGAGAAAGAATTAAATTCAAATCATTTTGCCCCACATCATATAGTACCTAGCTCCTATTACACAATTAATTAATTAATTAACATAATTCAAAGTCTTACGTACTCTTTTGGTATTTGCTTTATAATGGAATCCACAGATTTGAAAGTTTTGAGAAAAGACAGAATTTAGCAGACTTTTTTTTTTATTACATTGCAAATATCTCAGCTCTTCAAAAGCTCATTAGGCTATTTAAAGATGTGTCCATATTTAGATATAAGCCATGACTTAAAATAACTAGCTTAAATTTATATTTCCTTCCTATTTTTACATTGTTTTGAATTTTTAATAGGTATATATTTGTTGTGTATTTATTTCCTTTTAAAATATCTATTATAGATAAAGCCTAGTAAGATAAGGAGCTACTAGCCAAACGTAACATTTCTTTGGCAGTCACAGTAACGTAACTTGGGAGTAAATACCAGAAAAAAGCAAATTACCACTGATCATAATAATTTCCATAACAATATAGATTTTGTGATGAAATACAATTACAGAGATATTTATTGTTCCAGGGTCAATTGTATTATTTCATGTAATAAAGGTTCCTTGAGAAACCCTTACTTTTCCACATCCAGCCGTAAACATGTATGAATTACTTTCAAATTTTTGTTTTGCGAGGTAATAGTTCCCCTCATTTGTAGTTGATAAAGTAAATGTGATAAATGCAAAGAAGCTTAATTATTATGGAATTCATTTCACTGTGATAGTATGTGGTTGTTAAGATTCAATCTAGTCTTAAATTTTAATAAGGACCCCAGCTACAGAAAATTCTAAGTGAAGGATGTTTGAGCTAGAATGAGAAAAGTTTATGGTGGTTTATAGAAATGAACTGGAATTTAAATAATTTATTTTTATGTGTGCCCATTTTTTATTACAATTTTTTTCAAAATTTATTATTTTTTACTACTAAGAATAAAAACTGACGATATTGGAAATGAGAGGAGGCTGAACCTCCTAGATTCACCCTCCATGCTAATACCAACAGTGAATGACAAGTGTGTTGGTCTCAGTAAGGAATTTACACTCACCTTCTCCATCTTTCCTACTTTGTTCTTCTCTCAAGAAGGATGCTAATTGTGGGGCATGTATACAAATGAAATACAAATAAAGAAGATGGAGCTTTAGTTGTGAGTGGGGAGAATTAACTTAGTCTCTCTCTCTCTCCCCATCTCTCTCTTTCTTTTACTTTCTTTCTTCCCGTCTCTCATGAATTGACAGGGTAAAGTTTGGATTTTGGGAGTTGCTTCTCAATTCTTAAAGTATTGCTTTAAGATGTGTCTGCATCTGCCTCCTGCTCAGCAAAGATCTTGCTCTGGAAATATCTAAGAATATGAGCATTACTAGGACTTTGCTCAAGATGTCATGGAGAAACTTACTTCATTTTATACATTTACTCTTAGATTTATTTTATAAGGAAGTAAGAGGATCATAGCATTTGCTAAGACTGAGATAAACAAAATAACACAGAAGAAAACTTCCATTAAAGAGTCTCCAATCTCATGTACATTTATGTTGCCTCAGATAGCTTTCCCAAAAAAACATTCAGAAATATATTTATAAATATATCCTTCTGTGCTAATGTGCTATAGCAACTATTTCTGTAGTAGTGTGATTAACAGAATTGGAATTTACTAATAAATAGGTAAGTATGTTTAAAATTTTGAATATCTCTAACTTGACTTCAATTTATTTAATTACTATTATAATTATTTGTTTACCAATTGCACTGTTGCTACAATGTTTGAGCAACTTTCAAAATTTCCTTGACAAAATGTGGACACAGTTTAGAGAAGAAAAACAGCACAGACCAAGAATCTTGTATTTCAATTTAAACTGCATTCTCCATCATTTTTCACTGATTATTCTCCAGACACTAATTGCTTCTTAAGGGTTAATATAAGTGCTAAGATGGATAGCATAATTAATATTTAAGATTCAAACTTATTTGCATTTCTCTGATGACCAGTGATGATGAGCATTTTTTCATATGTTTGTTGGCCTCACGTATGTCTTCTTTTGAGAAGTGTCTGTTCATATCCTTTGCCCACTTTTGAATGGGCTTGTTAGTTTTTTTCTTGTAAATCTGCTTTAGTTCTTTGTAAATTTTGGATATCAGCCCTTTGTCAGATGGGTAAACTGCAAAAATTTTTTCCCAGTCTGTTGGTTGCCGATTCACTCTAATGATTGTTTCTTTTGCTGTGCAGAAGCTGTGGAGTTTGATTAGGTCCCATTTGTCTATTTTGGCTTTTGTTGTCAATGCTTTTGGCGTTTTGGTCATGAAGTCCTTGCCTACACCTACGTCCTGAATGGTTTTGCCTAGATTTTCTTCTAGGGTTTTTATGGTGTTAGGTCTTATGTTTAAGTCTTTAATCCATCTGGAGTTAATTTTAGTGTAAGGTGTCAGGAAGGGGTCCAGTTTCTGCTTTCTGCACATGGCTAGCCAGCTTTCCCAACACCATTTATTGAACAGGGAATCCTTTCCCCATTGCTTGTTTTTGTCTGGTTTGTCAAAGATCAGATGGTTGTAGAAAGGTTGTGTTGCCTCCGAGACCTCTGTTCTGTTCCATTGGTCTATATCTCTGTTTTGGTACCAGTACCATGCTGTTTTGATTACTGTAGCCTTGTAGTATAGTTTGAAGTCTGGTAGTGTGATGCCCCCTGCTTTGTTCTTTTTGCTTAGAATTGACTTGGTGGGAGTGTAAATTAGTTCAACCATTGTGGAAGACAGTGTGGCGATTCCTCAAGGACCTAGAAATAGAAATTCCATTTGACCCAGCAATCCCATTACTGGGTATATATCCAAAGGATTACAAATCGTTCTACTATAAGGACACGTGTACACGAATGTTCATTGCAGCACTGTTTACAATAGCAAAGACCTGGAACCAACCCAAATGCCCATCGACGATAGACTGGATAGGGAAAATGTGGCACATATACACCATGGAATATTATGCAGCCATCAAAAACGATGAGTTTGGGTCCTTTGTAGGGACATGGATGAACCTGGAAACCATCATTCTCAGCAAATTGACAGAAGAGCAGAAGATCAAACACGGCATGTTCTCACTCATAGGCGGGTGTTGAACAATGAGAACACATGGACACAGGGAGGGGAGCACTACACACTGGGGTCAGTTGGGGGGAAATAGGGGAGAGACGGGTGGGGGGTGGGAAGCTGGGGAGAGATAGCAAGGGGAGAAATGCCAGATGTAGGTGATGGGGAGGAAGGCAGCAAATCACACTGCCACGTGTGTTCCTATGCAACAATTTTGCATGTTCTTCACATGTACCCCAAAACCTAAAATGCAATAAAATAAATAAATGGAAAAAAAAAAAAAAAGATTCAAACTTATATTTGGTTTTAGATAAAAGCATATGTTTAATCCAACTGAGATTCCTATATAACTATAAAGTCAGCCAATTTTACAGAGATTTTTGTCTATTCTTGTCAAAATTATTTTGTTATGGGTATTCTGACATTATTCAACACACTTCTCCGTGGCAATCTGAAGATTTTCTAATCAAGATAAAATTACTAATCTTTCTTTTTATTTATTTATTTTATTTATTTATTTTTTATTGCATTTTAGGTTTGGGGGTACATGTGAAGAACATGCAAGATTGTTGCATAGGTACACACAAGATAGTGTGGCGATTCCTCAAGGACCTAGAAAGAGAAATTCCATTTGACCCAGTAATCCCATTGCTGAGTATATATCCAAAGGATTATAAATCGTTCTACTATAAGGACATATGCACACGAATGTTCATTGCAGCACTGTTTACAATAGCAAAGACCTGGAACCAACCTAAATGCCCATCAATGATAGACTGGACAAGGAGAATGTGGCACATATACACCATGGAATACTATGCAGCCATCAAAAATGATGAGTTCATGTCCTTTGTAGGCACATGGATGAACCTGGAAACCATCATTCTCAGCAAACTGACACAAGAATAGAAAATCAAACACCACATGCTCTCACTCATAGGCGGGTGTTGAACAATGAGAACACATGGACACAGGGAGGGGAGCATCACAAACTGGGGTCTGTAGGGGGGAAATAGGGGAGGGACAAAGTGGGGTGGGGAGTTGGGGAGAGATAAAATTACTAATCTTTCATTTTGTTCCCCATAGAGTCTTTATTTTACATTAGTAAAAGCCTTGTTAAAAATTCAGGTTCCAATTTAGAACCAAGCAGAGTTGTACACTTTGTCTCTAAATTGCTTTAAACCTGACATTATCTGGCTATCTTTATGTTAAAGTTTGTGAGACCTGTTTCAACCAGTTTTCTTCCAATCATAGTTATAAAAAATTGTATCTTTTGTGTCTACAAACAAGTGGCTTAAATTAACATGGAAACAATTCTTAATTCTTAGTTCCATATTGCATTGATTTTCCTATAATGTTCTGTTGATGCTTAAAATACATATTAAAACAGCTGCATTAATATTATTTTTCATCAATCTACACAGATATTTCATAGCCAAATACATTAATGAAAATAAACAATTGAGCAATAAAATACTGAATGCCTGGATATTTAAATTTGAGAAATTATTATTAGTTTTTGAGTTTGGAAAAAAGTCTGCATTCTTTATTTTTTAAAGAAATTTTATTTGCATAAAAACTTTCTCTTTCATTTAGCATTACATATGTATATATACATATATATAGTAGTATGTCTATTAACATTTAAACATTGTTGAAGGGTGAGGCAACTGTGGGAATTAAATGAGAATCAATTTTCTAATTTTCCTCTTAATAAACACTAAGACAAATATACACAGTCTCAAAAATTGTATATATAAGAAATACAACTTTAGAACAATTGATGGAATGTTTAAAAATCAGAAAATCTTTATTTTAAGCAAATCAGATGTTTCAGGAAAGCTCTCCAGGAGGCCTTGAACAGACTCTTTCTCTCCTATTTCTCACTTGTAATTCTCAAGTAAAACTGTAGAATGTGCTGAGATTGCAACGTCTTGAGATAGGGCAGTAACTGCCTGGAACAGCCCTAGCTCTGCCGCAGTGCCCTCCAGAAACAGAATGTCTTTCCGTGCTTTGGTCCAGTGTTTTATGTTTTGCCTGAAGAATATAACCCAGGGTAGGCTGCACTTTCAGGGCCCCTCATCTGTGATTATAAGGCACATTCAATGAGGTCTCCAAGTGCCTCAGGCAGCTTCCCTAGCCTTGGAGGACCAGCTCGGCTTGAATCCTCTGCTTCTGTTGTCTCTTGCTGTCTTTCTGGAATAAACAAATTCACTTCGTGTAACTTGCTGCCTATGTGTTCTCTATCACTAGACTTGGACAAGTTGGTAACCAGTGCGCAATGAACCTGCTTCATGACGGAGTTACCAGCTATGTCACTTTGAATTATGGAACCATGAATTAAATACATATGTCTACAATTAGATATAGATATTAAATACATATGCATTTAATTATAATAGATGATTATATATAGTTATACATGTTTTACATGCATACATGCATATAAATTCATATTTATATAAAAATATTTATTCATTATAAATTTATATATTTAATATATTATATATTTAATTATCTTAAATAAATATTATTAAACCATAACAGTGATCACAATGCATTATTATCAATAATTTACTCATAAGTGTGATCACAATGCATTATTATCAATGATTTACTCATCTGTTTCTCCCCCAGAATATAATAACATTATTAGCATTAAGGACTAGAATTTGTTCTCCTAGGCTTTGAATCATCAGTGATGGGCAAAGGTATTGATAGACAACAATCACTAAAATTATGTTCTATTGAGCACAGAAATGTGCAGGATTGAAAGCATAACACTCAAAGTAAAAAAACTGGTGAAGTTCATTTTTACTATTATAGTCCAATGTAGATAAGTTCATAAATGTTGAAGAATAAGCAAATCAATGTTCAGTAGAGGAAAAAAATGGATGACTGATGATTGAAAGTCTTAATTAGTTGTTCACTAAAAGAAAATTATAACTGATTACAGCATATTATATCTTATTGGATAGTAAATGTAAGTATTTACATGTATTGTTTTCTCATCCTATCTGTTTCTAAAAGAAGAGAGCCTGAATTTCATTTAAAACATTTGTTGGTCTTGGCACCAGGATGGTTGACTAAAAGTAGCTAGTGTGTGCTGCTATCATGGACTGGAAATACAGTAGTGAATAAAAACAGGTCTTCAAGTGGATTGTCCAGGAGGGCATGCTGGGATTCATCAAGGAAGCAATGATGAAAGAGAGCAGTGAGGAGCAGGGCAAAACAGCTGACCACCTGTAATTGGTTCAAAACCAAGGGAGGATCCCCACTGCAGGGAAATAGTGAGTGATCAAGAGTCCCCAGGGCCTCATACTTCTGCCATTGATCTTTGCAATCCTGGGCATTGGGAGATCCTCTCTCAGTCCCTGACCCCCATAGCCTCTGTCCAGACTGGGCCTCCAGAGGGGATACTCAGGCCTTCATGGAGCCCTAAGATCCTTGAATCCTTGAGAACCCTGGTACCAGGGCCATAGCCATACCAACTAGGGAGGCAGGGCTCTCTTACATGCCTCCAGGGTAGGAGCCACATCCACAGTGATAAGGAGAAGATGAACTGCAGGACTTGCCTCTGCTGTACATCATTAGGCAAAGTCCACTGACCTGGGACCCCAGGACAGCCAGCCTGAACCACCTGAACAATTGCTGATCATGGCTGTTTATTTCTCTGGGGAAGAGCTCCAAGAGGTAACTGATAGGCCAGCCATGATTGCTGCTGCAGTGACACCTCCTGGTATCCCCTCCGTTACCCCTGGTCCCTACTGCTCTCAGCCTGCTGGGGGAGCAAAGAGCCCAAAACTATCTCAGGCTTACAGCACACTGCAGCTACCAGAAGGAAAAGTAGCCAGACTGTTTTTCACACTGGTCCCTGTCCCTGCTAGTCATCCTCAGAGGGAAGGGCCCCCCATCCTGGGCCCCAAGTGCTGCTCCCCTACCTCTGTATGTTCACTTCAGGGGGTAGCAGCTATGCATTTCTCTAGGGTGGGGTTCCTGGAGATAACTGACAGGCTCTCTGCTATTGCTGCTACAGTGATACCTGCCCTTGCTGCCCGGGGGCTAGGGAGAAAACAAAGACGCTGATTGCTCCCCTCACACCTCCAGCATGCCACAACAACCCTACAGAGAGAAGACAAAACTGTCTTTTCCCTGAGCCCCACTACTTGCTTGCTTTTCAAGGTAGGATCCTTTTCAGGTAGGATCCTGGCTTGAGCCTGCAGCACAGCCACTCCACCCCTGGCTGAACATTCCATTGGTATTGACGCTGCATTTCTCTGGGATAGAGCTCCCAGTGACAAGTTACAGTCCCTGTACTACTACCATGGCCATGGTACCTGACCTTGCTGCCTCTAGGCAGGGGAAAGAAAAAAGAGCTGGGATGCTTTATACTTCCAGCATGCCACAGCTGCCCTACAGTGAGGAAGCCAGACTGTCTTCCTCATGAGCCTCCTGCTTTTCACCAGGCAGGGTCCCCACTTTGAGCCTACAACACAGCTACTCCTCCCCCAGCTGATCATTCCAGTTTGTGGCTCTCTGTTTCTCTGGGGTGGGGCTCCCAGAGGCAAGTGCCAGGTCCTGTGTCATTGCCACCGCCAAGGTCCCTGCCCATGCTGTCCTCAAGCTAGGGAGGGAACAAAAAGCCTGAGCTTCCCCTAGGGATGCAGTGTGCAGCCTGGGAGTGCCAAGCCACAATCTTTGACCAGATGTTGAGTTGGAGAAGAAGCCATACTCTCAGAGAACTGAAGGAACATAGCCTGCAAAGGTGAAGAAATACATGGGAGTCACATGGCTGATTCAAAGCCTATCTACCAGCCATTGCTCTTAACCACCATCTACCAGATCCCAGCCCAAACTACAATACCAAAAATGCTTTTCTACACTATATCCCTCTGTGAAATCAAGGAGGAGAATTCAACCACAGAGACAGACACTGCCCATAACCTTGGCCCTCTGAGAATATCCAGAAATAAAGTCAACTGACCATACTCAAATTAGGCTACAGCAACAGGAACATCAGCCCGCAAAGGTAAGAAAGAGTCAGTGCAAGAACTCTAGCAACTCTAAAAGCCAGAGTGTCTTCTTACTTCTCTACAACCTCACTAGCTCCCCAGCAATGGTTCTTCACCAGACTGAAATGGCCGAAATGACTGACAGAAATTCGGAATCTGGATGGCAATGAAGATAATCGAGATTCAGGAGAAAGATCAAACTAAATCCAAGGAATATAAGGAAATTGATAAAATGATACAAGAGATGAATGACTAAATACCCATTTTAAGAACAAAAATAAAGTGATCTGATGGAGCTAAAAAACTCAATACAATAATTTCATAATATAATTGGAAGTACTAACAGCAGAATAAACTAAGCTGAGGACTGAATCTCAGAGTTGAAAGACCAGTTCTTTGAATCAACTCAGACAAAAATAAAGAAAAAAAAGAGTTTTAAACAATTAACAAAACCACCAAGAAATACGGGATTATGTAAAGACAAAATCTGTTACTCACTGCATCTCTGAAAGGAAGGGAGAGCAAGAAACTTGGAAAGCATATTTGAG